GTGGGATCTGACACCTTGACAGTTAAGGTTTGGCTCTCTGCTACCTTCCAGTCTCAAGCAGGTCATTTCACAAACAATGTGGGGCTGTATGTGGGTCAGTGAATATTTATTAGGCCCATCTGGAACGTTACATTTATCTCAGTATCTAAAAATTCCGATTTGGGAAACCAAGTTAGACTCGTCTTTCAAAATTATGCTTTTTATTTGTTCACCCACTTACTATGCTTGTACTTGAACTGTCTCAGACTTGCGGGTTTGAACAATTCTGTGGCACACTATTCATGTAGAGTTCAATGTAGATAGTGCCCTGGAATTCTGCATGTAGTAGTCCTATCTATAATAATGCATACTGCTTTTAATAAATATGAGGTTGATACAAAAAGGTAAACGTAATATAAGGATAAAAGAAGATAAGGATACCAGCTAGGGACCTAGGTGACTTATCCTCTCAGAGGTATTCCTTCCTTGTCTTGGTAGGTTTACAGCATATGTTTGCATCCTCTGTCAACCTTAAATAATGAGTTTCGAATATGTGATTATTTGAGCCCAAAGCTTGAGGATGGCCACTTTGGAGCTTAGGGTCAAGTTGCCCTGAATGTACACTGATGAGCAGCAGTTACAAGGTTGTTTTTTTTTTTTTCCTTAGATGGAGCTTGCTGTGTGCCCCAGGCTAGATGGAGTGCAGTGGCGCAGTTTGGCTAACTGCAACCTCTGTCTCCCGGATTCAAGCGATTTTCCTGCCTCAGCCTCCTAAGTAGCTGGTACTACAGGTGCACTCTGCTACGCCTGGCTGATTTTTTGTATTTTTAGTAGAGATGGGGTATTCACCATGTTGGCTGGGCTGGTCTTGAACTTCTGACCTCAAGTGATCCACCCGCCTCCGCCTCCCAAAGTGTTGAGATTACAGTCTTGAGCTACCAAGCCAGCCTACAAGTGAGTTTTTCAGGAAAAAAGAAAAGGCAGTTCCTAAGTTATTTAACAAGAATTTACATAAAAATAAACTATCGGTTGACTATACGTAATTCTTTGTATCACAGATTCTAGGAAGATAAGGAGTGAGACAGTGAGTCTGGAACAAAATGCCTTTAAGTAATTGCTCCCAGGCTTGCATGGTGTGACCAAAGTCCCATACTCAGGGGCCTGATAAACTTTACATACCTCACATAGCTCAGTCAGCTCTGAGCTATTTTTATTTTCTTGCCTCAATCAATGTATTTTGATGAAGTTATAATTATCATTTTTTGTGTGTGTGTGGACAATGCTTTTGTTATACTAAGAATCTTTGACCAACCAAGGTCCCAGAGAGTTTATGGAAGATTTATAGGTGTATGTAAATGTCTATTATCTGTTTTGATTTAATTTTTATATGTGGTGTGAGGTGTGGATCAAGGTGCTTTTTTAAAATTGTTCCAGTACTGTCTATTGAATTACCTTTGCAACTTTGTTGTTAATTTGTTGACCATATGTGTGTGGGTTTATTTCTGGACTATTCTTTTCCATTGATCATTTTGTCTTTTATGCCAATACCACATTGTCTTGATTACAGTAGCTTCATAAGAACCCTTGAAAACAGGTAATATAAGTCCTTCAACTTTATTCTTTTTTCAAACTTGTTTTTGCTCGTCCTTTGTGTTTTCATAGAAATTTTGGAAAAAATTCTCCAAAAAAGCCTCTGGCATGTTGACAGAAGAAAGTGATGCTCAGCAAGGCTTGTACAGTAAATGAAAATGGAAATGGAGGGAGGCCAGACATGGTGGCTCATGTCTGTAATCCCAGCACTTTGGGAGGCCTAGGCGGGCAGATCGCTTGAGCCCAGGAGTTCAAGACCAACCTGGTAAACATGGTGATACACCATTTCTATGAAAAATGCCAAAACAATTAGCCAGGTGGTGGTGCATACTTGTAGTCCCAGCTATTCAGAAGGCTGGAATGGGAGGATGGCTTGAGCCCAGGAGTCTGAAGTTTGCCGTGAGCCAAGATCACTGCACTGCACTTCAGCCTGGGTGACAGAGTAAGACCCTCTCTCAAAAGAAGAAAAAGAAAAAAGAAAAAGAAATGGAAGGAAAGACAAATGACAGATTTGGTGCCAACTGAATGTGTTGGTTAAAGGAAGCAGATGTGAAGTGTTAAATTGATGCCCAAGTTTCTAATCTGAGTAATTGGTTAACTGGATTGATGGTTCTCCAAAGCAGGAATTATAGGAGGAGGCAGCATTTTGATGTGGAATAGAGAGAAGTCCATTTGCTTATGTTGAATTACAGATGATGCCAGTGGAAAACCACCTAGAGATGGCATGTTGGAAGCTAGAGACAAATTTACTAGGAGTCATCTGTGGTCCACGAGATCACGTGGTGGTGGGAGAACACAGGCCCAAGATAGAAAGTTGAGGATCATTATCTTTAAGTTATGAGCTTGAGAAAAAGAAGCTATGAATTTTTAGGTTCTTGTAAACATCTTAAATACCTTCAGCCAGTGGCTTACCCCTGTTATCCCAGCACTTTGGGAGGTCTAGGCAGGCGGATCACCTGAGGTCAGGAGTTCCAGACTAGCCTGGCCAACATGATGAAACTCCGTCTACTAAAAACACGAAAATTAGCCGGGTGTGGTGGGGCACACCTGTATTCCCAGCTACACGGGAGGCTGAGGCAGGAGAATCTCTGGAACCTGGGAGGCAGAGGCTGCAGTGAGCTCAGATCACACCACTGCCCTCAAGCCTGGGTGATAGAGTGAGACTCCATCTCAAATAAATAAAATAAATGAATGAATACCTTCATTCAGCGTGCACAATGCTGCATGGCTCTATTTGATCATTAAAAGTATTACAGTACTTCTTCCCTTCCCCTGATCTCCATTCACACTCTTGTTTTCCTTTTCAAGTCTAGCATCTTTGTAACAGAGTGTGTACCTTAAATACAGTAAAATAAGGGCCCCTGCTATTCTCGTAGATGAGTAAGATTGCTCCAAAATGCCACTATTTAGAAATTATCTTGCATTCTTTAATTACTAGATAAGTTTTTATTTTGTTTTTCTCTAAAGGGTATAAAATAGAAATCAGGAGCTTAAATGATGTAAATAAAAGCAGGACCGCCTGGTTGAGGGTGAGGAGAGGAGAGTTGCAGCACATCACCATTATTGCCAAGTGGACTTGGAAGTGGCTTGCAGAGAACTTCAGTATTTTTCAGAGCACAATTTGAATGCCAGTCTGATGCTTTTAGTATTTTATAAGTAAGGAAACCAATGCCTGAGCTCCCTTGAGGAAGTGATTTGCCCTTTGTCTCACTGCTAGTTAGGGTTGAGGTGGAATTAGGGCTGGTGATTCCTGATTCCTAGTCGCATGCTCTTTTTGGTGGATGGTGATATTGCCCTAGAGACCCGCTTCATTAGTCACCATACCCACTACCCCTCACACCACCCCCTTAATACTCTGGGTTATTAAAGGTGAAAAGAAAATGGGAGAGAAAAGAAAAAAAAAACCTGATGTGTTCCCTTGTTCCAGATGTCAAAGCTCTGTAGCTTATCAGACTGACAGCAGGTGCCCTGCCATTTTCTGAGGGGATTTTCTGTCTGGTTGTTTGTTAGTTACCATCTCTTGCTATTTAAGCAGCTTCAGGGGCAATGGATTCTCTGTCACAGTGGGAATTTGACATTTCTATTTCATTTGTCATTTCTGGTACATTGACATTTAATTTTGTAATTGTATACTTAAAAAGTTAGTAAACTAAACTACTAAAAACTAAAGTTTATTAGTGCTTTATCAAAACTGAAAATACTCCCAAAGGCTAAAATTATATTTGGTGAGCCTCCTAATGAGGAATTAGAAGACTTGGTTGAATCATAATATTAGCTTACTGCTTATTTGAATTTACTAAGTCCTTGACACTATACTAAATGCCTCATTTTAGGGATGAGGAAACAGTTCAAAGTGGTGGCGATGTTTGCTGACGTTTTGGAGCTAATAAGGGCTGAGTTTGGATTAAGAAACCTCAACATTCTGAATTGTTGGGCGCTCTTATTTTTCGGATTATCTCAGGCTCCATATCCTGCTCAATATCTATTTGTATTTGCTTTGAGGGAATATTCTCTTTTCTCTAGCCCAGTTCAGCATCCGCACTCCAGTTTCCTCCTCTGTAAGCCACTCTCCCAAGGTGTCTGTGTGTTTATCACTCATACCTGAAAGTTGCCAGGGTAGGATGGAGAGGATGGGGCTTGAGAGGGGAGAGGTTGTAGGAGAGGGAAGAACATGGCAGTGGAGATTTATAGCTTAAAACTGAGCATTACATGATATTTCTGTTTTGAAAACCCTATCCCTGGAAATTCTGCAGTGACCACCTTTGTCTAAAGGCCTAGAGCCCCCTGCCATCTCCAGCATACACACTCAGCTCTTGTACATGCACTCAGAAGTCAGTTTTTGTTTTAAATAACTTTTTAAAAAATCTCATCACCAAATGCTATTGATCGTAGTTTGCCTATCAGTAAAATAGAAATGAGGTCTATATGACCTTCAATTGAGATTCTCTCTTGAGGATTTAATAAAAATGATGGAAGCTGAAATGTTTAAAAATATATGTGAAGTGCTACACTCAGGTGAGATACTACTCTTATTGTTGATGCTTTAATTGTAAACAGATTTATAAAGGGACTCTTAACAGCTGATCAGAATCTACATGGAACTAACACCATGAACTCCTGGTTAAGTGGCAAAACAATACTTATCTGATTTTAGGGGTAAATTTCTGATTTAGAAAACATGGAAGCTTCTTTTGTGTCTTTCGTTTAAAATTATCCTTTGTATTATTAACAGTAGATTTTAGCAAAGGCAATCAAACTTTCCTAACAAAGAAGTATAGTAGTGCTAAGATGTTCAAGATAAGTTAATAGTTGTTTCTTTGTTTCAGATTTTGTAACTGAGATTTGACACACTGAGCAATAAATGAATGTATTGGCAAGCATGTGTTTTTTTAAATATGATTTTGCAAAGTAATTTGTTTTTCTAATTTTAGGAAACAGATATTGATGACCGATATGGAGATTTGGATTCCAGAATAGATTCTGACATTCCAGAAATTCCACCATCCTCAGATAGAACCCCTGAGATTCTCAAGAAAGCTCTATCTGGTTTATCTTCAAGGTATGATTGGATGAAGAGTATATCTTAGTGTACAAGATAGGCTTTGAGGTTATCCCTCTCCATGTAATCAGTCTGACTTTTTGTAAGTTTTCCAGCTCAAAAAGACCACCTAATACCTGAGGTATAGTTCTATCTACTTAATGTATGTCCACACTTAAAACCTTGTGAAGTACAAGAAAACCAAGACTGAGAGGTAATTATTGAAGGTTACTGAGCTAGTAGATACAGACCTGAGATTCTTGCCTTGGGCTGTCAGATTCTGAAGTCTGTGATCTACTTACCATGTCAGGTTGCTTTTTCTGGTATCAGAACACCTAATAAAGAAAACTCCATCGTTTCTGTTCCCTATTTTTCAAATGCCAGACAGAAATAGGTATTTTTTTTTCTTTTTTCTTTTCTTTCTTCCTTTTTAAAATAAGATGGGTTTTCACCGTGTTGCTGAGGCTGGCCTTGAACTCCTGGGCTCAAGCAATCTACCCACCTTGGCTCCTTAAAGTTCTGGGATTACAGGTGTGAGCCATGGCACCATGCCAGTATTTTTTTTTCTTTTAACCAAGTTTAAGATTATTGTCTAAAACTCCACAACCCATTACCATTTTATTTTTATTTTTATTTTTATTTTTTTTGAGACGGAGTTTCGCTCTTGTTACCCAGGCTGGAGTGCAATGGCACGATCTCGGCTCACCGCAACCTCCGCCTCCTGGGTTCAGGCAATTCTCCTGCCTCAGCCTCCTGACCATTTTATATTTGTGCAACACATAACAATGTTTAATGACTACAAAATTTCAGCTCATTATGTATTACCCTTCATTGTATGCTTTAGTAATGTGAATTATAAAATTTATAAAAGCAAAATAAACCTAAGCTTTTGTCCAGATTAATGTGTGAAGTGTTACAAATTGGAATGAAACAATAGTTTCCCCAACTTTTTGACACTATGACACAGTAAGAAACACATTGTATACCACATTCCAAGACACACATAAATATATATTTTAACTGCTGCAAAAATGTTATGAATTCTTCCCATTGCTATATGTAATACCTTCTGATTTCTTTTCTATTTGATGCTATCCTATGTTATTGAACAAAAAATTCTGCATGTAGCTTACTCAATTGATTTTTTATCCTTGGTTCATAGCCTGCAGTCTGAAAACCAATAGTTTAGTCCTATCTAGTAAATGTAATATGTTTTTCTTTTTTTTACTTTGTAGGGATAACCATTTTAGGATACGTTGGTTAAAAGCAACATTTTCGTATTTTTAAACTGATAGAACACATCTTTGATCTACTATTAAAAGCATGATTATTTTAATAGTTCTTGTTCCCAGTTGTTTTCATGACCTAGTTTGCAGATGTAACTTTGCGTTAAAATCTCATCAAGTCTACCTCAGACCTGAAATTTTGTGTAGTTGATATTCTGTGAGAATAATGCTGGATTCATGTGTGTCATTCATAGTAAGATCTTCCTTAATCACGAATTTTTTTTTTCTGATGTAAAGTAACAATAGCAAATACCAGCAGCTAATATTTATTTAACATTTACTATGTGCTAGCATTGCCTCAGGCACTTTATATGTATTGACTAATATTCTCATGGCATCCTCATAACACAAGTATTTAAATGTGGAAACATAGGCAGATATTATATATCAAGAATCATGTAGCTAGTAAGTTATGGAACCACATTCTAAACTAGTTGCTGTGGCTTCAATGCATGTATTTTTATCTATGATATTTATAAGTGAATTGGTTTTAGAAAACGAACAATGGATGGTATAATGGTTTCAATCTTCTCAAGAAACTTCTCTACAAAGATTACATGAATGTTACAAAATCTGTTTTATACATTTTTATTCTGTTTTTAATCTAATATTGAAAATAGACTGTCTTGCAAAGACTTAGAATTTGTAGATACATAGAACTGAAAATAGTAATTACATAAGAAATGTACATTACCTGCAGGAAAAAAAAATCCTATAGTCCTCCTACCAAGACATTAATATTTAGAATACTTTGGTGTTTACTCTTTGAAGCTTTTTTCTTGTGTTGTGTGTGTGTGTGTGTGTGTGTGTGTGTGTGTGTGTGTATGTGTGTAAAGCAAAAATAGATTGTGCTGTTTTCTACCTTACTGTTTTCATTTTTATTCGATGGTATTATTAGGAACAACATTTCGTGCTCCTAAATACATTTCAGGAACGTTTTTAATGTCTATATGATATACTTTGTTATGTGGCTATAGTCTAGTTTATCCAACTCATCACCTATTGCTGGGCATTTAGTTTATTACTAAATTTTCACAATTAAAAATACCTCTACATTAGACATTTTCTTTGTAGCAAACTTTGCTTTAATATCCATAAGATAAAGTCCTAAAAGGGAAATTGCTTGGTCAAGTTTATGCCCTCCCCTTACTTTTTTATTAAACAGGGTTTTGCTCTGTTGCCTAGACTGGAGTCCAGTGGCTCAGTCTTGGCTCGCCGCAACCTCTGCCTCTCAGGCTCAAGCAGTCTTCCCACCTTAACCACCCAAGTAACGGGTACTACAGGCATGAGCCACCATGCCTGGCTAATTTTTGTGTATTTTGTAGAGGCACAATTTTGCCTTGGCTTATGGTCCTTTATTTACCTCTGACTAGATTAGGGACCTAGCCCAGTTTCCTAATCCATCCGTTAATCCACAGTTAGTTATATCTGTGCAACTACATGGAGCCTTTCAGCCACAGCATTTTTGACTCTACGCTCACTTTTAGTTCTGCCCCATGCTCATGCTTGCATGAGAAGTTTATGTCTACGTAGTTTGTTAAACGTGGAGGGAAATAAAGTTGAATGAGTGCAATTTGACTACCTTATAAAGAAACTTGGAAGCTAGGAAAAAAAAATGTATGTTGTTGGTATTCTAGATCCTGTGTGCAGAAATGACATGATAAAAGGAGTATTTGAAAATGGTGTTTAGTTGGTAGTATTTAAGCTATATCTGAGAGTTGTTGAAAGCAAGGAATGTTATCTTTTTTCTTTAGAGACAGTATCTCACGGTTTCACCCACACTGGAGTGTAGTGGCACAATCATGGCTCGCTGCAGCCTTGACCTCCTAGGGTCAAGTGTTCCTTCCACCTCAGCTCCCTGACACCCCCTCCTTCCCCAACTAGCTGGGATCACAGGCGAACACCACCACGCCCAGCTAATTTTTGCGTTTTTTGTAGAGTTGGGTTTTTCCCATGTTGCCCAGGCTGGCCTCAAACTCCTGGGCTCAAACAATTCCATATCTTACGAAGGCGGCTAATATTTCTTGGAATGAGGGAATGAGGGCTGGGGTGGTTCACACCTGAAATCCCAGCACTTTGGGAGGCCAAGGCAGGAGGATCACTTAAGCCCAGGAGACGAGTCCGGGCAAGATAGTAAGACTCTGTATTTTTTTAAAAAAAGAGGAGTGAGGACCCGTGCTTAGAATACAGTGCATATATGTTACTAGACTTTAAGTTGAATCAAAATCTCTTGTAACATAATTTAAATGCTACCAGTTCAGTTAATAAAAATCAGAAAAATCCTAAAGAAAAACAACAATTTCAGATGTAGAAGTTGTCATTTGTATATAGGAGAATTCAGAAATCAACATCCATGTATTTAAGTTATTCTGAATTTTTCATACAGGAGTGCCAACATTTTTTATGACACCATATGTGTGGTGTTCACACAAGGAGTGATATTTGTATGGGACACTAGGGATGCAGTGTGAGGCTCATGGCGGTGGTGGGGTATGGTCAGGCATCTCTGGTCCTTACAGTGAGGGTTGGGAGATATCAAATCTCAGCATGGCAGGGACCAGCCACTGTACCAGCAGGAAGGTTCTGCTCTGAGGCACAAAGAAAGACCCAAGAATAAGAAAATACTTTTACTAAAGGCTTTGCCCCTAATCAAATAAAGCAGGCAGTACACTAAGTAGTAGAAGGGTCCATCCATCTGTCTTTATCCTCAGTGGCTGACTTCTTAGGTAACTGGCACCTCATTCCTTCATTTCACTGAAATCACTGTTGTTTTAGTTCGGTATTATCTTTCATTACTTTTTCTCATTGGCAGTCCATGCTGTCTCTACCATCTTCTTAAAATCATTACTGTATTCATCTACCATCCTAACTGAGCATCATCTCTTTTGAGGGCTTTTGTACCTGGCCCGTTCTTCCCCTCCATGTGATACCTGGTGGGATGTGTGACTTTCACATCCACCATGACCACCTAACTCCTAACCTCACGATTTATTCCCCACTCACATTTAACAAAAATTATTTTCTTTCTTGGCTAATATAACTTTAAAAGTTAATTTATCTCCCAGTGTGTGAATGAATGCTGTTTTGTTTTGTTTTGTTTTGTTGTTTGTTGTTATTAAATAAAGTGAAGTAGTGGAATCTTAAAAGTATAGTTAAGGAAAATTTCTAAATCTGGCAAATCAATACTGAAACCACACAGAAAACCTTAAGAACACATTAAATCCTAACTTTACATTTTCTTTGTAGGTGGAAAAACTGGTGGATACGTGGAATCCTCACTCTAACTATGATTTCATTGTTTTTCCTGATCATCTATATGGGATCCTTCATGTTGATGCTTCTTGTAAGTGTTTGGCATTTTCCTAAGCGTCTCTTGCTTTGTTTTTCAACATTTATATATGATTGAAGTAATTTTTGCATATCATAAAAAAGTTAATTCAACACTCAGTCATAGCGTATATAGTTCCTTTAAGTGTCTTTTGGTTCATGATGTGATCTGACCTAATCTTTTCTGTTTGTAAAATGGCTACTCAATGTGTTCATCCAGCAGAGACCAAGATTGTATAACAGGTACATGTCTATGTGTCTGACATTGTGCCAAGCATATTTTATAAAAGGTATGACACGAGCCTGGGGAACATAGGGTGACCTCATCTCTACAAAAAAAATTTTAAAAAAATAAGCTGGGGGTGGTGGTTTACACCTGTAAACTCCAGCTACTTGGGAGGCTGAGGTTGGAAGATCACTTGAGCCTGGGAGGTCAAGGCTGCTGTGAGCTGTGATTGTGCCACTGCACTCCAGCCTGGGCAACGGAGTGAGACCATCTCAAAAAAAAAAAAAAAGCAGAAATATACACATATAACATCAACATATGACTATTAGCTGGATCCCTGATTAACTCAGTGTAATGGCAGAAACATACAAGTAACCATATGAATAAATAGTATGATAAATACACAAGGTAAGTTCTATGACAGAACACGTTAGGAGTGTACAGTAGAAAAGCACCTAATCCAGTCTGAGGGAGAGACGAGGAGGGGCTTCCAGAAGAGACGGCCGAAGCTGAGTCCTGAAGACTAGGCAGGGAAAGGAATTTCAAAGTGAGGACATCACAGGAGGGGCATGGAGGTAATGAGAGGATGTGGTACATTGCAAGATCTGCAGGTTGCACATGTAGAGGGTGTCTATGTAGGGGACTGGAGAGGCAAGGAAAAGCCATTCTGGGAGTTTTGGATTTTGGTGTACATGGGAAGCTCAACTAGTCATGAAGCCAACTAATATTTAAACCCTTCATTCATTCATGTAACCAACGCTTCAGAGATGCCTGCTATGTGCCAGGCATTTTGTTAGTTCTAGGGATGATACAGTGGTACTGAGAAAAATGTACCCATCTCTGCCCTCATGGAGCATACCGTTTGCACTTTGAAGAACTGATTATGTATTTACAGTCAGATGCCACCTGGTGACATTTTGGTCAGTGATGGACAACTATATGATAGAAGTCCCGTAAGATTATAATGGTGCCAAAAAATTCCTATTTCCTAGTGATTTTATTCTAGTTGCCAACAGTATTCAGTAAAGTAACATGCTATACAAATTCATAGCCTAGGACCAATAGGCTGTACCATATAGACTAGGTGTATAGGAGGCCACACCATCTGGGTTTTTCTAAGTATACGCTATGATGTTTGCACAACAACAAAATTGCCTAAGGATGCATCTCAGAACGTATCCCTGTTGTTAAGCAACACATGACTATATATAATCACAAACTACAATCAGCATTTGAAAAAAAAGAATGATACTCAGAGAGCAAAAAGGGAGCTGGGAGACTTTCCAGAGGAACAATGCCAAGCATGTGAGCTGCAATCTGAAGGTTGAGTGGGAGTCAGCAAGGTGAAGGACAGAGCCTGGGGGAGGACGGTCACAGGCAGAGGATATCTGTGTACAAAAGCCGAGGTGCCTAATGCATGAAACATTTGAAGCCCGCAAATGTTGGAACCAAGGAGAAATGCATTTGTTCAATGCATTCGTCAAGCATTTAGGCAGTGCTGAGCTTGGTTTGATGATGCACAACGAGAGCCTGCTCTCAGGGGTGCCCTGTGGCCTTCTTTGTTAATTTTATCATCATTGTCACTTCTTTTGATTCCTTCTCAGTTAATCCAGGCTCTTATGTACTCACTTCCTTCATCTCTGGTTGCTCTTGCCTTCTTAGAAATGTGTTTATCTGGCCAGGTACAGTGACTCACACCTGTAATCCCAGCACTTTGTGAGGCCAAGGCGGGCAGATCATGAGGTCAAGAGATCAAGACCATCCTGGCCAACATAGTGAAAACCTGTCTCTAAAAAAAAAAAAAAAAAAAAAGAAATGTGTTTATGCATTTTGCCAGTCTCCCTCCATGTTCAATTCTATTCATAGCTCATAAGGTTATGAGCTATATGACATGGTTTTCCTTTTATAAATAAGTTTTGATGTGAAATTAGACATGATGAAAAACAAATTCCATCAGCTCTTGAAGCCACTTAAAGTGGCTAAGCACCTCAAAGCCTCTTTCACTTCTCTTTGTGTCCTCTCATTAATTTTGCACTTCCTTGGGGAAATCAAGTAATGAAAATGAATAAGAAGTTAATTTCTTTTTCTGTTAATTTGCTAAGATCTTAAAGTGCTTTTTCTCACAAAGGAAAAAATGGTTAATAAATAGGATAGACCTAATGTGAGGGTGGAGGAAGCCAAGGTTGAAAGCCAGGTGGGCAGGTGTCTGGTTTGAGTCCAGGTAGAGGCCACCAGCTCCCATTCTTCTGTCGCTGAATATGCCAAGGGCTAAAATGATCACCATTGGTCCCGGGACTTGGGCATTTAAGAAGCAAGTGTGTGTAGAGTACTTTTCAGTGCCAGGTGGTGAGTGGGCAGGCTTGAGGAAGAAAGAACCAAGTGAGAGCAAGGAGCTCAGCAACGCTTTGTGGGTGAAGGGACCTTTAGTATGATCTTGAGCAATCTGTCAGGGTGGAGGGAGCACTGTGAGCAAAAATCCTAGTGGCTGGAAGTGTGCCATTTGGACCTTTGCTCATGGTGCTCCCTGGGTGGCAGAAAAAGGTGTTTTTTTTTGTTTGTTTGTTTGTTTTTTAGCACAGGGCTGAAAAATAATTAGAGATCAGATTCTGGAGGGCCTTGCAATACTGTGTGAAGAAGTTTGGGTTTTATTTGGGAAGCAGTAAGGAGCCATTGAAACTAAGGGAGATCATTTGAGGTATTATTCTCTTTTAGAAGAAAATGTTGATCTAAGGTATCAGAAACCACCGGTATCCTAGGTACACGGACTTAGGCAGGTTTGGTGGGTTCCCCTGTGATCACCTTACCTTTTTCTCCAAACTCAACTGTTGAGTATAATAACTAGGACAAAAATTTGTGGATAAAAACTGTTTTCTAACAGCTCTTTGTGACAAAATTCAAGACAGTTTTAAAAACATGAGTGTATACATTTGGATTCGGATTTTTAAGAGAACTGTTAAGTGTGCCTACAGTACTTTAGGTTTTTTGTATATTCTACTACAAAAGGAAAATATGATTTTATTGCAAGTTATTTGCTTCAATTGGTGAGTTTAATTAAAGAAGAAAATAAGAATATTAAAGATCTGGCCAGGCGCAGTGGCTCATGCCTGTAATCCCAACATTTTGGGAGGCTGAGGCAGGTGGATTATTTGAGGTCAGAAGTTCACGACCAGCCTGTCCAACATGGTGAAATCCCATCTATACTAAAAATACAAAAATTAGCTGGGCATGGTGGTGTGCACCTGTAATCCTAGCTACTCGGGAGGCTGAGGCAGGAGAATTGCTTGATCCTGGGAGGCGGAAGTTGTAGTGAGCCAGGATCAGGCCACTGCACTCCAGCCTTGGTGAGAGAGTGAGACTCTGTCTCAAAAAAAAAAAAAAAATTAAAGATCTAAGTAAAGTAGGTTTGAACTGCTATTGGTTATTTAAGTTTATTATATACACATACATGCATATATATATATTATGTTTAATATTTATGTTAAGAGAATATGGATGGTACACACACATATAGTTGGTACTCAGTTGATATTTATGTGTTTTAAAACCATTTCTATTCATATTCTTAACTAGATCATTTATATTTTGAGAAGTACAAATTGTATCTAGCTTGGAGTTGCCATATAATGTCAGCACTCAAAAATGACTAATTCAAGAAAGTTTTATTAAAAATTTCTAGGAGGCCAGGTGCAGTGGCTCACGCCTGTAATCCCAGCACCTTGGGAGGCCGAAGTGGGTGGATTGCTTGAAGTCAGGAGTTCAAGACCAGCCTGGCCAACATGGTGAAACCTGTCTCTACTACAAATACAAAAAATTAGCCAGATGTGCTGGTGCATACCTGTAGTCCTAGCTACTCTGGAGGCTGAGGCAGGAGATTCACTTGAACTCAGGAGGTGGATGTTGCAGGAGCCGAGATCACGCCACTGCACTCCAGCCTGGGCAGCAGAGTGAGACTCAGTGTCAAAAACAAACAAACAAAAACTTCTATGAAATTATAGCTATTTTAATATGGAATGCATATCCATGTTTCTTAAAAGACACTTTTTTTTTCCTTCAGCCTATTTGTAGTTTTTAAATTATTGTATTCACAGCTTGGAATCACCCTTTCTAAGTGATGGATTTACTAAGGCATGTTTTGATTTAAAGGCAGATATGAACATACAGAAATAATGAGAGGTTTTTTTTTCCCCCTTGCCTTCTAGGAAACTTCTGTTATTAAGTTTTAATCCATGCTATGTAATTTACTTTTAAATAGTGTGTTTACTTTTGGCCAGGTGCAGTGGCTCAAGCCTGTAATCCCAGCACTTTGGGAGGCTGAGGCAGGCGGATTGTAAGGTCAGGAGTTCAGGACCATCCTGGCCAACCATCCTGTCTGTACTAAAAATACAAAAATTAGCTGGGTGTGGTGGCATATGCCCATAATCCCAGCTACGAAGGAGGCTGGGGCAGGAGAATCGCTTGAACTCTGGAAGCGGAGGTTGCAGTGAGCCAAGATTGTGCCATTGCACTCCAACCTGGGTGGCAGAGTGAGACTCCATCTCAAAAAAAAGTTTGTTTACTTTTTCCCATTGTGAGAGTTGTGATAAGTGTATTCAAATTATTTTGGAAAATAGATAATTAAAAGTAATCATCCCCAGCACTATTGCCCTATTGTTAACAACGAAAATGCAATTAGTAGTGCTACTTGATATATTTTATTTCATAATTTTTACTTAATTTATATTTGTAAAACCCATGGTTATAATAATAATGTGACTAACACTGTGTATCCTGCTTTTTAAGCTAAATATCAT